CTACTACTCCGTCTTCGGCTGCCTTCATCCTTGTATTCACCGCCTCCGGTCATCTTAATCCTGTTCAGGTTTATTGTTTCCAAGATCCATTGATTGAGATGTTGATTTTGGATTGCAATTGTATAAATAATTGAAACGACCCAAAAATCATGACCAAAAAATTTCTTTAAAAGCATTACTAGAATCATATTTATAAAAACTGTATCATAAGTCATAACATAAATTCTCGAGTATTAATTCAAAACATAATATCATTATCAGAGTCAAACATTCCCAGGCTAACTGACTATGGTGTGTGCACTGCAATCTCCCCGAGCTCCTCTTTTGAAAACTGAGTACCTGAAACCAAAACTGAAAACCGTAAGCACGAAGCTTAGTGAGCTCCCCCAATCTAACACATACCATACAACAACATATAAAGCACATACTGGGCCTTGCCCACTGCATCGGACCAATGTCCGGACTAACTGGGGCCTTGCCCCCTACATCGGACCGAAGTCCGGAAACTGACTGGGACCTTGTCCCCTGCATCGGACCGAAGTCCGGACTAACTAGGGCCTTGCCCCCTGCATCGGACCGAAGTCCGGAAACTGACTGGGACCTTGTCCCCTGCATCGGACCGAAGTCCGGGCTAACTGGGGCCTTGCCCCCTGCATCGGACCGAAGTCCGGGCTAACTGACTGAACATAGCATAGCATAACATATCAACTAGCATGAACACATATACTGCATACTACATCGGGCCGTAGCCCGGAACACATAACACATAAAACATAGCACATAAATCCTGTCTGAGCCACGAAGGCATCAAACATACTAACTACTGCATCGGACCGAAGTCCGGAAACTACTGCTAACTGAACGGGCCGGCATTGTGGCCTTAGACCCGTCCCTACTGGAAGGAAACTCACCTGAGACTGCTGAACTGATGCTGCTAATCCTCTTGACTGCTACTTGACCTCTGACTCCGAACTGCTGCTCCACTAACTCTTCGAGCTTCAAAAGCCAATAAAACACTTAGTCCAACTGACCTCCAAAGGTCACTAGGTCAACTTTGGTCAAGGTCAAAATCCTAGTCAATGCCAACCTTCCAGGTCAACCCTACTCGTCGAGTTCCTTCGCTCAGGGTCTTTCTTATTCGCGATTCGACTCGCCGAGTCAGTCTATGACTCGCCGAGTCCAACTAGTTCCAAGTCCTGTCCTGTCCAACTCGTTGAGTCACCACCCGACTCACTGATTCGAGTCTCAACTCGAAGGGTTTAGGGTTTCGTGATCTGACTCGCTGAGTCCAAGAACAGACTCGCCGAGTCCTAGACAATCTTCAACCAACTCGTCGAGTTGTTCATCCAACTCGCTGAGGCCATGCCTAACTTCATCCGACTCGACGAGCTGCTCATCCTACTCGTCGAGTTCCTCTTCATCTTCAAGCTACTCGCCGAGTCCACTCGAAGGACTCGCCGAGTCTATCCAGTCCTCAATCCATGCAGTGGCTTTTCGAGCCAAACAAACTTCCAACTCATAGATCCATACTTCTAGGGCCTATTCCCCACGTAAGTGGCAAACTTTACGTGTAGATTGAGAGATCTATGCTCAAAACATACTAAATTAGGGTTTATGGCAACCATGCTTCTTCAACATATCAAGGGCTGATACTTTAGGGGATTCAAGACCAAAACCAACATGGATCTGAGGTAGCAACCTCAGATCTGAACCTCCAACTCGAATTGGTTACATAACAAACCAACAATGACCAAAACTCACACATAAGAATAGATCTAGATGCAAAGGGAGTCCAAGCAATACTTATTACCTCCAATTGTTCTGAAATGACTCCACAATCCCAGATCTACAGTCCCTTCTTGCACCTCCAAGGTCTTTCTTCCTCCTCCAAGCTTTAGTGCATTCTTCAAGGCAAGATCTAGCTCAAAAACGGATATGGCGGCTAGGGTTTGGTGTTCTGGGGTAGAGAGGCCAGTAAAGGAACCCTAGGAAGGAGAATGAGACGCTTATATACTCCAAGTCCCGAATTTAGGGTTTTCCTCGATCAGACCCAACTCGTCGAGTCTCCTTGGCCGACTCGCCGAGTCGGTCGCTTACACCACGACCCGGATCCCGCTCGGACTCGCCGAGTCTCTCCTTAAAATTGAGGTCTTCTTTCTTTTCTTGACTTTCCAAACTTTGGGGTGTTACAAACTCTCCCCCACTTAAATTAAACTTCGTCCTCGAAGTTTGCTATGATCAACTGCCTGCGAACTGCCTCCAACTCTCTATCTGGGAAATCTAACACCCTTTTGTCCAAAACTCCAGCCACTCACCATGCCGATCATTACCGTTGGTACATACTGAATCCTTCTCCTTTCCATAATTTTCCTAGCGTTACTTCCTCTGACTGGCAATTCTGTACCCCTCATCCGCCTACTGGATGCACTGAGACCACTTTGGTCCAACTAATCTACCGATATCCGAGTTACCGGACTCCCACCGGTCACTATACTCCATCGCAATCTCCTAGTCGCTTCCAGCGACTCCTGAAAATACTTCGACTATCTATAACTGTTCTATCCATTCTTCCGCTCATACTGAAACGATTGCTGAAATAGCTTGCTTATATCCCATCTGATTACTCAACTCCTACTAACTCGAGCCTTCCATCCTGAAAGAAAAGCTACATGCCTAGCTATCTTTACATATCACTATACTCGGCCGAAGGCTCAGCTGATCCTACTGAGAGAGACTTGCCATTTCTAAATCAACCAACTATACCGTCAACACTTGCATTCCAACGCAAATACAATACTGACCCAAAACCCTGAAACCTTCCAAACACTGAATTGCCTGCAATACTGAACCTACCTGAAACACTAAACTGCCTGAAACGCTGTTCTGGCTGAAACACTGAGCTGCCTGAAACACTGAACTGGCTGAAACACTGAGCTGCCTGAAACACTGAACTGGTTGAAACACTGAGTTGCCTGAAACACTATACTCAAACCCAACTGTGGAGTCAAGGGACCCGCACTTAGTCGCTTCCACGACTTCTGAATGAAATCTTCCTCTAGGACTAGTTTCCACTAGTTATCCTGTCACTGTGGCTCTAACAACCTTCCGATCCAAAGATCGGGTCATACATACATCACATCCTGACATCATCCATTCCATGTCTATCAACATGATGGTTCCCAGACTGACGGTAGCCCTTAACATACCCGAACCCCAACGGTCCACTGCTACTCTGATCTCATAACTGATGTGACGATCTATAGCCCAAATTGCTGACTTAGCCATAACTGAACCGTTTGGGAAATCCGAAATCTAACCCGTGGATTCCCATATTCCCATTGCTGCACCCGAACGGGTAGGAATTACTACGTTCCCGCGTTCCACAACGCGCTCATGCTGCTACCAATCTGATAAAAGGCTGCGACTACGCTCGCGGACTTACAACTCTCTAGTACTATCTGGCTACTAGTGAATGATACGGCTACCTTCGCAGACTTACAACACCACTTACTACTATCTGACTGCTAGTGAATGCTACGGCTACCCCCGCAGACTTACAACACTACTACTACTATCTATCCCGAGGACATCCTGACTATCCCTAGTCCCGCTAGTGATTCCTCATCCCGATTTCTCAAACCAGCCCTCAGTCTTTGAATTCTGCATCATCCTCGACATCTTATATCCTTGATATACTTAGCGCTTCATCGAGGAATTCTCCGGCTTGGTTCCCAAACCAACCATCTACTAATCCGGATACAAGAAGCTATTGTTGGGAAGTTTCCAACCTCCCAACTCCTGAATCCACATAATCCTGCATGATGGCTCTGCCTGGCTAGTAATACGAAGACATCTCCTGCTAACCGTTTTCTCCGGATCCTCATTCCGACTCACTTGAGCCTTTACAGGTGGTCCTCAAATCCTGGATTCCCAACCAG